ATTTAATGAAGACAACAAACAACTTCAGAAAAATATTTAATTACTTGTACCCGATGTTTCGGCGTATGCTTTTATAAAGGGTCTATGAAAGTCACAGTTTATCAAACTGATTTTAAATTATGGTAACCGAAAATGAAATACAGCTTCAACAATATAATGGAAAAGTGTACATGACACGAGTATAGTCGAATAGTTTTGAGTCATTGATCATAAAAATAAAGAAAATTATAATAATAACATAAAAATATGTCGTACTAACTGAAGGGTATCAGTGAATATGTTGGTGTCTTGCTCATCTGGTGATTATTAGTATGTATATTAGTGTAATTAACCAACTGCTGTGTATAAGTGAATATATCAGTATCATTAACCAATTGATTATATCAGTAAATATATTAGTGACATTGGTTAACTGATGTGTAGCAGTAAATACATCCGTGTCATTAATCAACAGATGTGTATCAGTAAATACTTCTGTCATTATCCAACAGATGTGTATCAGTAATTAAATCAGTGTCACTAACCAACAGATATGTGTCACTGAATACATCTGTGTCATTAATCTGTAGCTATTATCATCAATGTACAGTGCAATGAAATGTTTAAAATTAAGAAATGGAAATGTATATACATTCCTTTTATCTCTTTATTGAACAATCTTACAATATCTGCTTTGGGTCATATGCGTAATATTGTGTCTTTTACCTTTTCATATATGATTTATTTTTATTGTTTTATTTTCCTTTCATGTTCTTTATCACTGATTAGTTATGTTGACACACATCAACAGGTACTCACGAGTGATATAATGTTAACATTGGCAGAGACAGTTTTGGCCTCGGACAAAATGTTGTTTGCTCTCACTAACTTTATGAAAACAGGTTGAGCGAGGCAAAACATAGAATAAACTTAAAAAATCATTAATCCATTCGAATATGATTTTTTAAACACAAATAATACATTATTAACTAAAATATAAAAGTATATCCTAAATGCCATTTAACTGTCTATCAAACTAATGTTTGTAAGGCGAGAAAAAACAGCCAAGCACTACGGACAACAGTGTTAAACAATATACTTCGGAATTGTATGCCTACATAGTCCAGGTTAACATTGCGGTAGGTAGAAGATAATTTACAGGGAAGGTTCTAGAGGTTTCTTTGGAAATAAATGAATAAAAACTTGGATAATATATAATTTTGAATTATAATATAGTTGATAATAATAATTTAAATAAAAATACATTTGTGGTAAAGTAGTTTAATTATATTTTCAATATAATGCAATAATATGAGAAGAAAGAAATTTTGTAAAATGCCGTCATCATTACAGGGTTAACCACCAGAAGTGTATCAGTAAATAGTTCAGTGTCATTAACCACCAGAAATGTATCAGTAAATAGTTCAGTGTCATTAACCACCAGAAATGTATCAGTAAATAGATCAGTGTCATTAACCACCA